CAGAGAAGTGAGTTTTATCACATTGCACATTTCCCTATCAAGCATCACCGATTTTCTCCAGCCACATCACAGAAAACTGCCTGGCTTCAGAGCTCAGGTCTACCCGCCATCCTGTAGCAGGATCAATACCCAGGCCATCCTTTGCAGGTGTTTTTGTAACCCGTTCCCAAAATCTCTGCTGACAGCCATTCCACAATCCCCTTAGACAAGGTCTTCTCCTTTTATGACAAAATTTCTACTGGCTTTTATCAGATGATTGATTCTTTATCAAATGAGGAGTGCTCTTGGCAAACTGATGTGGAATAATTCCCACAATGACATTTTATCCTTTGTATAAGCAAGAGAGGGAGTCTCATCTGGCTATTTTACCCATAAAGGATTTCAGTACATGCACAGAAATCCAAACTTCACACAGATCAGTGCCTGTTTACACCACATGGCTGCTGTCAGACATAGTGGGCAGCATTTCTCCTCCCTATTACAATTTTCATCTCTTTAATTATTGTCTCCTCTGTCACAACAAGATGCATTTCCAGCTCTCCATTTTACTTCTGAATGTTATTTAAAAAATAAAAATAATAATAAAAAAGGAAAACAAACAGCAAATAATTTTATCTATAAATTCAGAACTGCTGAAGACATTCACCGTGCTGGTGAGGAAGCCAAGCTCAGCCCAAGCACAAAAGCCTCACAGGGCTCCCCAGCACCAAGCCCAGCGCCTGCTCCCAACCACGCACAGCGGGGGCTGCAGCGCATGCAGCAGGACGGGGTGATAGTGGTGTTCAGGGCAGTGCCAGCACAGCACTGCGTGGCCAGGCACCCACTGCACTGAAAACAAGGGGAACAGGTCAAATCATAGCAAAAAGGACCTGGAAACAGCAGGGCTGAGCGAGGAGCGTGATGAGAACCAGCCTCACGGCACTGTGGTTGAGCATGCTGGAGCAGAAGCTTTTGTGGTGCCCATTTAACCCAACTACATGCTTCCAGGAATGGAAGAGGAAAGCAGTTCCTCCCAAAACACTGATAGATCCTGCTGTGGAAACACTGCTTGTAAAACGAGGTACAGAGCCCCAAAACATGAGCATGCACATGTCCATGGGCCTGAGCACAAGTGCAAGGCTGCAGCAGGGAACAGTGCTGAAAAAACACGCTCATCTGACTTCATTAATCTAACTCTTGCTCATGTATCAAAGTGCAGCGCGTTTTCTTGTAAAAATGATTAAGCTGCTAATTAAGCTGTTTATAACTTGTTTCCCTGGTTGCTAATGATAATTAACATGCAAATTAGCTGAGGGAAGAGAGGCACAGGGGTCCTCAGTTCATTACCAAGTTAATTACTGTTTGCATACTTAAACATAACAGTTATAAATGGTGGCATTTAATGTAATGGCCAAGATGATAATTATACCAACGACATTTTGAAAAGTCATTTCACTGTGTGTTATTTTTCTGGGTGATTAATGTTTCCATGCCTGGTTGATAAACTTAGTTCCAACCAATATGATTTGGAAACTTAGCGCAGCCAAATAAGTTATCCCTTAACAATACGCTCTGATCCCCGTTTCTCTGTAAAGCAGGGAAAGAACAAGGGGAAATAAAAGCAGTACATTTCAACACTAACAAAGGAGAAATAAAGTGGGCTGCTTAGCACCACCTGTTTAATTTGAGTTGGCAGCATATCTACCAAGATGCTGTAACAGCATCCTTTTTTATCCCTCACTGTGTTATTCCTCATGTTTTATCAGTGCTGGCAGATCTCTGAAGAGATCCAGCCCATCATACTCATCATAGCAGGCAGTATCCTTAGCTTCAAAAGCTTGTGTTCTAAATAAGCATGGTAAACAGCATACCACAGAAACAAAATTTGATAGTGGCCATTAAGAAGGACATGCTGGAAGGATGCACGCCCGGGGAGGACATGCTGCTTGCTTGCCACATTCAGGACTCTGCTCCAGCTTATTCTGATGGCTTCCTCACTGGACACAAATGCTGAATCCCGCAGTTAAATCAGAGACAATAACTGAGAGCAAAGCATGTGTGTGGTGACCTTTGGGGGTTTTGAGCTTTAATCTCTGGAATATAAACAAAAGGATTATTTCTTTCTCTAGTAGAGCGACAACTTTTTTCTTGTAATCTTGCTCAAGTGCATCTTAATCCTACTGTTCATCAGGGAGCCCTGAAATCCTTCACGTTGTCATTCTCGTTGGGGTAAACAGATGAAAATAACCCAGTGCATAAAGGCAGCATGCTGCTTTCTGAGCATATAAAAGTATGCAGTCACAGCCAATTCTAGGATATCTAATATATTAATATATATATACACACATATATAAACATTGCAAAGCAAAAAGATTCAGGATAGTCACTTCTTCAAGGCCTTACTAATAAGCTTGAATAAAGGGGTAAATTTTACAAAAAAATCATCCAGATCCAGAGTAACAGGGTTGGACCATAAAACAACAAGACTACAACTTCTCTGACCCATGCCACCTTTCACTCACACTTCCCAGAGCTCTTCACAATCACTGATTTAATCACCTTACAGTTTTCCTAGGATGTGTTATACTTCTGTGATTATCTGGGGTTCAGAAAGATTTGACAGAACAGCAGGCTATCGTATCATATAAACAGAAACATATATAAGGCTAACTGAGTATTTGAACAACCTGAAAAGAGAGGTTTTATATACATTTTTCTTCCAGACAACATTAGGAAGAAGATCTCTCAATAGCAAAGCTTAGAGGTCTCCGTTTGGAAGCTGCTGGTCTAACTCAAAGGAATAGCAGCAGCTGCGGTCACGGGATACAATGCCGGGGTGCAGATTTCCTTCACGAGAGAAGAATTTCCTAACTCTGTTTGACAACAGAGTTACCAGCAGCCTAATGCTCCTGGCAGACTGTGGGTGTGGAACTAAATACGTACAGGGATGAAATTTCATCGTGTGGCTTAACAGCTTAGTACATCAGCAGAGAGCTTCTTGACTTCAGTCCTGTGGGCATTCAGTTGCCCAGCCTGTATAACTTAGTACAACCCATCTTCATTCCCTATCCTATGCTTACACCAGGCTAAACGAGAGCAGAATTTGGGGTTTGCTCTCCAACCAACGTAGAGCCTAGCGTGAAGAATGTCAGTCAAGTAAATCAAATACCTTTTTTTTTTTAAATGTTGCTAGTGCCCCAACCCATTACAATACTATCAAAGAAAGTTCATTTTCTAAACCCAATCTTGTGTACCAAACGCAAGTATTTCTGGTTTCTCACTTTCAGACCAAGCTATGTCTCACATTTAAAAGCCTGAAGGGGAGGAACCCATTACAAGCCCTGCAGGCACTGAGAACCCTTGAAAGAAGTGCAAGATTTCTCAGACACATCCTTGAAAAGGGTTACTGCACATATATGTTAGAGGATCTCCAGCTTTACAAAGCCACTTGTTGTGGTGTCTTTACTCGCTTCCCACTCGCCTCCCTTTAAAAATTAATCACTAGTCGAGACATTATGAGGAGCTATTGTATTATACTTAATATTTAATGAATGTGTGGCATACTTAATATTTAATGAATGTTTAGATAAACATCTCTGTACTTTTTTTTTTTTCCTTTTCTCACTTTTTTTATGATCTTAGAAACAGAACTTGTCGTATCTGCTCCAAAGGACAAGCAACAAGTTGTCTGGTGACTTGGGAGAAACATTAGGAGCCAGGACTGGGAGCTGTTGCGTCGCTGGTTCTGCCACCGATACTGAGGGGTTTTCACACCAGCCTCTACTCATACACCTCACGTATCATACCAGAGCACGGTCCACCAGAAAAATACCCTCTTCTCAAATCATCTTTGAGCTCCTCTAGACGCTCTTGCCCTTATTCCTTTAATGACTGCAGTTAGGAACCTGAGATTAAGTTTGATGTGTAACATAAAATTGGCTGTATTTGTAACACCTGGTATTTGACCCTCAGCAAATAAAACCATCGCTTCAAGTTACTGCCACCTTTCTGGCCAGCCTTGTACATCAAGATCACAGCAGCATCCCTCACAACACCCGTGCAGTGAACACGCTGTATCTTTAACTAAACTGGGAATCTTTATGCTAGAAATGATGAATGGAGGATGCTAGTATCCTCCATATTCGTTACATCTACAAGGCAAAATGTGGCTGGAAGCAACTTGCACACCACTCAGTCATGCAGCAAAGTCAAATTATGGGTAATGATTTTTGCAGCCTGGGCCACAATCCATTGAAGGCACCGGTCTTGTTTCTATTCCCACAAGCCGTGCTTGAACCTCAGTGGAGGGGCAAAGAGGCACACGCGTTTGATCAACTCAGCTCCTTTTAATGTGATTTCTATTTCAGAACTGTTTCTTTTTATGCCCTCAAGTCTTTCTTGGCAATATCACCTGTGGCCTAATGTGACAGCAATGCTAAATTATATCTCGATGGCTAATTATGGTAATTAAAGTGAAAGTAATCAAATCAAAGTAACAGGCAAACTCTTAATAAAATGTCAAAAAATCTCTATTAATCACAGGGGTTTTTTCATTCTCATTTGAATGAGAAAGAACAAGGATATAACAAAAAGGCTGAACTTCAGAGCTGGACCTGGTTTAAAGGCTTGCCATAAGTTGAAACACACTTAAAAACATCCTGGATTACTAAAAATCAAGGGTTTTACCCTTGATAGGGTAGGGAGGGAGCCGCACAGTTTGGGCGAGCAACTCAGCCCCCGTCACGCCGAGGGTCAGCGGGCCCCGTTCACTTCTCCTCTGGTACCAGCTGCTTTCCCCGGCCACCCCCTCGCGGGTCACACAGTCATAGGATCCATGGCACCTCCCAGGAGGCGACAACGAGTGGAAACCAAGACGGAACCCCCCCCCCCGTCCCTCCCCGCACCGCCGGCGGGCAGCCCCGGCCGGGCTCCGCTCCCGGGGCCCTCAGGCCCGGCCCCGGCCATGTTTGCAGTCTCCAGGCAACAGCGCGCCCGGCCCGGCCCCGGCCGCTTTACCTTACCTCGCATCGGGGGAAGCGAGAGGCCAGCAGCTCCGTCAGACGCCCGCTGCCAGGTATTTGTGCCCTCAGGTAGTTGTTTGTGCCCTCAGGTAGTTCTCTCCGGGCTCCTCCGCGGGATGGCGAGACCCCAGCGGGTGCATTGGGGCGAGCAAGGGGCTCCGCCACTCCGTCCTCTGCCCTAAACCTCACCCTCCCCGCTCACCCCTGGCTTACAGGGGGAAGGGGCAAATTCAGTGCTAGTTCCCTTCTCCCTTTCCAGCCCCTCAAAGGCAAAAGCAGGGCGTTAAGCTGCCCCCTCCCTGACCGCCACCAGGACCAACAAACTATTGGTGATTAAAACTTTATCAAACTGGCATCATGGCCAGGGAGACAAAACCCAGTAGGTCCCACAGCCTGGGCAGCCAAGGGGCTTGTGCATACTGGCAGGTTTTGTGTGGTGCTTTCTGATTAACAGCGGTTAATGTGCAGGTGTGGACAGTTAATTAGCTTCTGTGGCCTGATTCTGCTCTTGGCTTTGCTCCCCAGTAAAGGTCTCAATGACAAAACACTGGCTTTTCACAGGACTTTGTCTTGCTTGTATCTGTCAATTGGAAAGCTTCCTACTTCCAATTCTTTTCCTACTTTCCTACTGTCAATTGGAAAGCTCCACTGCCCCAAGCAAAACGAAGTTGTGCTCAACAGCCCCTCATGCTGCCTATTCTCTGTTTCACAGGCTCTAGGTGTAAATGCTGATGTGATGCTCCTTGGTGAAGCTACAGCTGCTCAAAATGTCACCTCAGAGGCTTGCCACGCTGCTGTGCGAAGAAGGGGACCGCCATCTAGCCCAGCAGGAGTTGCCAGAAGCCACTGCTTTCTATTTGGCTGCCTTCAGCTGCAGTGCCCCCATGGCCGTGCAGAAAGTGAATTCCCTAGACAAAGAGCTCTGGGAGAAAGTGGTAGCCACCTTGGAGATGTGGTGCAAAGACAAGAGTCAGATTCCCAAGATCCAGAGCAAGAACTTGGACGCTGTGTCCCTCAAAGTGGAAATAGCTGCCGCCTTTCTCTCCACCATAAGTCCTGACAATGTGGTATCCTCACTATTTAAATTGGAGACCCTGCTCAGACGAGGATGCTCAGAGGAGGTGGTGAGTAAATGCAGTACTCTGCTCAAGGCTAACCCGAAGCACTCGATGGAACTGCTGCTACTGAGGGCGTTGGCATGGGTGCTGTCAGGGGCACAGATAAGGAAGGGAGTTGTGGACTATCTTGAAGCATTTGTGATGCATCGCACTGAGGCAGTGGCCTATGTGTGTACCAGGCAAAGAGAACACCTGCCACAGATCATCCAGGCCTTCTCTAATTTTCTTTCAACATGTCAGAAAGAAAGCCCAGATTGTAGATCCTTGGACCAGTGGCTGGGCAACTGCTATGACTTCCTGTCTGCAGTGGCACCAGATGATATCTGCATTTGCAGGATGCAGGCAGATTACCTGTTTAAGAAAAGCAAATTTGAGGAGTGCGTGGCAGTTTGTAGCAAGGCCCTTAAGGGTTTGTCAGCAGGTAATAATATCAGAGATGAGAAAGCTTTGGGTCTACTCTTGGAACGGGCTGCTGCATATTTCTTCTTGGGTGGACGGATGCAGGAAATGATCCAGGATTTAGCAGAAGCCTTTGCAGCTACCCCTGCCCAGGCAATGAAACACTTTGAAGAGCTTTTCTCACCACCTGATACTGAGAAGATAGAAGAACAGGCTAGAACTGTCCTGGAGGTGAAGTTTGCAGCATACAGGGAGGCTGTGCGTGCTCGGCCTGAGCTCAGAAGCAATCATGGTACTGAACTTCTCCCTTCCGTGATCCAGACAGTCCAGTTCCTCCTGCACATCTCCCCAGGATCCAAACGTGAGCTCAGTGTTCGACTGGCAGACTGCCATCTCCTGCACGGACACATCAGAACTGCCCTGGAAATCTGTGACCACCTCTTAGCAGCAGAGCAGAAAACATATTACAATACTCTGCTAGCATTGCGAGGATTCTGCTACCTCCACACTCAGAACCAGCAGCAAGCTCTGCAGGACTTTCAAAAAGTCATCGAGCATGATTCCCCGCATCCCAGCAGTTGTATTAAAGCCTTATGTGGGCGTGGACTTATCCGGATTTCTGGTGGCAGCCACTACTTGACAGCCCTGGATTATATCACAGCTTGCCAGTTAAAGCTGGAAGAAACCATCTTCACAATCAAGTCCTACGTGCCGTGGAACCAAAGAGGACTGCTGCTAAAGGTCCTCCAAGAAGAGGGTCAGAAGATGCTCCAGAAGAAGAGGTACCCTGGAGGCAGCTCAGCCTGGGGACAGGAAAACAAACACAGCTGAACAGATTCCCAACAGAGTGGCCTGAGTAGCAGGGAGGGTTCTTGCGTCAGATAACCAAGAATAGGATTTAGACCCTTTTAAAGTGCTCCTAATTAAAATAAAACTTCATAGGTGAGGCTATTCCAGCAAAATACCTTTTGGCTGGTATGTTGTAAAGTGACAGGATCCACGTAGCCAAATCAGCTCAATCTTTATATGAAAGTTAATTCATGATACAACAGTTGGCCTGAGCTAGGAGTGAGCAAAACGCTAGATGGAATATGACAGAGATTTCTCCTCTAAAGGAGTTGTTACACCTAAAATAAAACAGATTTGTTAGTTCTAGCTGGCTCCTTTCAGTCTCAGCTCCGAATTGAAGGACATACTGGGCCACTAGATAGATTTCAGTATCACTGTTAGGTTTTCCTTTCCCATTGCAGTATCAGCTGGAACCACAGGTATGAATCACATGTTTTCAGCCTTTCTTTAGACCCACAGCTGCTTAAGAACATATTTTTATAAAGGGGGGGGTAATAATTATAGAATTAAGTGGCAAGAGATCTCTGTTATTGTTAGCATTTTACGTGAACCTTTCCTTTCTTTTTTTTTTTTTTTTTTTTTTTTCCTTTCAGGGATGCCCTTGGGGTTTATCAGCTGGCTTCTCTCTTGGTGGAACTGGATCTTTCTGATGAAGCATCACAGATCCTTTGTGCTGATGCTCTGTACCAGATGGGCTGGGTAGAAGAAGCTCACAAACTACTTTTACTGTCACTCTCCAGAAATCCACAAAGGTCTCCCATCCTGGCTAGACTCGCACTTCTGCAATTGAAGAAGGGTTTCTTGTATGATGGCAACCAGGTAAGGAGCACCTGGCTAGCAGGGAGAATGAGAGACTGATCAGTGATGGTATGGTGAATGGGGATAAACAAAAACAAACAAACAAAAAACCAGCAGCTCGAAGTCTGCAGTTTTCTTTCTTGTGCTTGAAGCTGTGGGTGAAATTCCAATGTGTTGATTCTCCTACCAAGGATTACAAAGTTGAATTACCAGCTTCTGCCATCAGAGGGAACTATTGCATTTTTTAAAATCCCAGATAAATTGTGCTAGCCAAAAAAGTTCTCAGGTTTTGTTGTCACCATTTCCTGGGAAAAATAAAGGTTTTGTATAATATGCTGCCTTTGGGAAGCTATTCATAAATTTCATGACTTTATTAGAGTCAGCAGGTAGGCCCTGGAAATTAGATTCTTATCTGCAGCTTCTGTTACAACTTCTGGATGGAATATATGTCACCAAAATTTTTTCAACAAAACATTTTTGATCAACTTGCTTTCTAGCATCCAAAATAGAGAGCTAAATAAGTTCTATGGCAGTCTGAACAGCTGATTCCAAAGTAACCAAAGCAGCATTACTATATCCACTACAATGATTTCCAGATTATAAAAGAGATAATAATTCCACATAATAGAAGAGATTCATGGTGTATGGCTAGACCATAGCCAGCACCCCAGTAAAACATGGAGAAGCATTGGGAAAGAGCATACTTGTATCCCTAGACAGAAGTATTTCTAGCTTTAGCAGCTCTTAATTTCATTTATCTTTTCATGCCAGTCTATCTTTTTCTCTCCCATTGTTAAGCTGCTAAAGAAAGTGATCAAAATTGGCGATACCTCCTGCCTCCTGCCAATCATGGACATTTTCAAAGATGAAGATCGGAAGCTGATGGAAACTCACTGCCGTTTCAGAGCACTGACTATCTTGAAGAACAAACAGAGGGATGCTGACATCAAAGAGGCCATTGCCTACCTTTCTTTTGCCATCATTGCTTCAGGTAAGATTATGAAGCTATGGGTAGGAGATGTATTTCTATGGGAAATCACATCAGTGGGTATGCAAACAATTCCCATCCATCGTTTCCCCGATGAGAAGACTGAAACAGTAGACTTACATGTAAGAAGGTAAAAATTAAAATAAAACACCCTTTTAGGATTAGCAGTGTAATACTGTTCTTTGATGGTACAGGAAAAGCAAAGTAACAGAGGGATTTTTTGGTACTTGATGCAGGGATGCAGTTTTATCACCGCAACATATATGTGCTCAGAACACAGGGAAATATCTCAAGGAAATCCTGCAGAACTGCTTTCCCTTCCGTGATTTTCATCAAGTAGCTGCACACAGGTGACTGAAGCAAGGCTGAAAGCTGGTAATTGCAAGAAAAGCCAGAGATTTTTGATCTAAAAACATGGTTTTCCCAGAAAGTCAAACTTGATGTAGAAAGAGACGAGAGTTTCTTCTAAAACATAATTGTTTCTTAAAGAGGTTAAAGCCAAACTTCTGATAAAAGAAAGGGAAATTTGGTCCCTGTGAGCACTTAGTCCTTAAAAGACTGTGAATGAGGGGCTACTTCAGAAAGTCATCTAAATGAAGGAAATCCTAGATTCAGAAGAAAAAGGAAGCACTTATCCCATTTATTTTGTGTAACTGTTAGGGGAAGTGCTAGCTGATAAGCAGTGTGGAAAAGCTGCTGCAACAGGTTCAGCTTCAGCCCATTTTAGATCAGCAGTTTTGAGGTAGCAGGGTCCTGTTTAGCCTTGGTGTGTCACAACAGTTAGTACCCTGAAAATCCTCCTACCAGTGAAATTGACGTGGTATCTCCTGTTCCTCATAATGAGCATGCTGTAGATAAGTCACTGCAGCAAACAACCTGCCTTCATGTTCCAACACACCAATGAATGTGTGGTTCCAGTGCAAATGAGTGAATGCACCCACTTACATGCATCATTATCCCAGCTTTTCCTAAGGAGAGAGATTAGGCTGATATGGAAATGCTTCTGGCATGTTCCAAGCAAAACCATATTTTTATGGTAATCTGCCTTTCACTCTGAGCAAATGTTATGACTGCAGCATTGAGAAGAAGAGACATTGGTTTATGAAAATGGAAAAGAAAACTGTTAATTGCTTTGAGATGGTTCCATTTCACAGCCTGTGCATTCCAGCTTATCAACCCCCCACCTGCTAGAACAGATGCTTGTTAAGAAATAGACATTGTCTTTATGGGAGCCAATTGATAGAGCTCCAGAGCAATAATAACCTTTAGTACAGAAGTTTTGGAGCATATCAGGAGGGAGAAAAAGCCTCATTACTGTAAAAGAATTGCTAGGGGCCTGTCTGCTGGCTCATCTCTGCAGGCAGCTGTGCAAGATGCTCCATTTGCCTGATAAAAAAAATATTTACAGTGGCACTGATAATTTATCATCCAGTATTGAGATGCCACGTTTATTGATTGCAGTCCTGGGCAAATTAAGATCCTCATCAAAAATGCCTTGAAAGGAAGGGGCATATGGATGGGGGAGGGATGCACACTGCATCCAGTGGATGAAGGGACCATACTTTTCATGGATAGCTTTATGTTTTTTTATTTGGGCAGCGCGTATTTGAAAGCAGAGAAAAATAATCTTATATGCAAATTCCGGTGCAAATGAAGTGTGGAAGTAAATTAGACAGTCCCATCTGGATTCCTGTTCTATCCAAAACAGCGTGTACCTTCTGACTCTACTTAATTAAAACAGCCAAATGGCTTTGTGCTTCCATCCTCACGTACCTTCCTTTTAGAGCCCTCTTCTCTCATTTGTGCTGCTCCTATTCCAACACACCAAAATCTCCCAGGATTACTTCTAATGAATTGGATCCTAATCCAGTTCAGATCCTTATGTATTGGCTGTGTTATTGGTAGGTTGCCTCCTTTTGTGGCACATTGATGTTGTCTGTGGAGACAGTTGTGATTGTGGGATAGATGTGGAGATGTGAAGACATGCCCTTTTACAATAAATAGCCTCATCTTACTTTTACTGCATTCCATCGCAGCATTACTGCACTGTTTTTAGAGGTCCTCAAGAATAACAAATGGCAAAACTTTCCAGACTTCCTCAAAAATTGACAGAAGCTGTTTCATTACACCTGGAAAATGTATAATTTCTCTGTACTATCAGCTGTGTGAGTCTAGGTATTCCAGAGAAGGCAGAAAAAAATCGCCTGCATGTTGAGTGTTTAATAATTGCAGGCCACTCCGTTTGCTTCCTTTCACTGTTTCTGAGGAGGCTCGCTCTTGCTGAGACCTTGAGGCAATCAGAAAAGCAGTTGTGGCTGTTTGAGAAGAGATAAAGTTTATTGACATGTGTATTTGTTTTATTAGAAACCAGGAAGCTTTTGAACTAATTTAGCAGTGTGATTTTATGATTTTGATTCTCTTTTCCACTCATTTTTTTATTGCAATGTTCTTTTGGCTTGTTTAATTAGACTGAAGGCTCTTTGAAGTAAGGCCTGTGTTTGTAGTGTGCCTGGCACAGTGTGGTTCCTGTTCCTGTCTGGAAAGTTAGAGTTCTGTCACAGTAGGACAGTTACAGTTATAAATCAGATTGCAGCCATACATTTACTCTCAGCAAAGTGCCCCAACTTTCTGTAAACCCTATTAGAACTTTTTTTTTTTAATTCCTGTGTATATAAATATTATATGCATGCATCTTTTTAGTGTTTTCCAGAACTGATTCTTCTGTTTATAGCATGCAGAATTTTTATTTTTTGAAAAATTATCTTAGTGGCAACATATATGCCCTAACTAGGATTTTTGCCCATACGGCAGCCCAGACATTTATTATTATTATTATTCCAGACTTGCCTGTCGCTTATTAGCCTATAAAGGTGCACTGGTTTCTACTGTCAGCCATCTATCTGTAAGTGAGAAACGTACACCACAAGACTCAGAACATCAGAGCAGCCTTGTCTTTGTAAGGCACTCCTGAAAACACATCCAAGACTTCACCAGTGAAAATCCATTCTTTGGCAGAATTCTACCTCTTATTCCACCCTTGCCACAGGTCTAAATAAAATGCTTACTTTTCAGCCCTGCAGTCAGCACTCCACAACCTGTACATGTATATCTACTGCATCATTTTCACTTAGCCTATTTGAAGCCCTTTGGTGGGGCTTAGTAGTCTGC